CTTCTCCTTAGGCAGGGGCCACTGAGGTACCCAAACCAGATCATTTGACCTCCAGGTGATTTTGATCGAAGTGGGTAGGAGAGCTTCTTCAGCGGCCCCTAAGAAAAACCCAGCCCTTGCCTACCTTTTTTGTTCTCTACTGGTATTGGGGATGTCCGACCCTGTAGGGCATTGCCCAAGCCTTTGCCGGGGGTATATCCCTGGTTCCTGAGTATATCCTTAGCCTGGGGGGAGCAGTTTGACGTAAGCGTGACATCCATCTGAGTGAGGATGTCCCTTCCCCATAGAGACACTGGCAACTGCAACACAAATGGTTGGAAATGGCCCTGATGACCCTCCTCATCGCACCAGAGCAGGGTTGAAGCACTAACCTGAGGAGCTGACACCATCCCCAGGCCCTGCAGCGTGTTATCTGCAGTGTTGGTGGGCCAGTTGGAAGGCCAATCCTTTCTGGAGATAATGGAACGGTCAGCTCCTGTGTCTAGGAGCCCTGTTATATTCTTGCCATTGACCTTAAGTGAGAGCGTGGGCCTTTTACCAAGTGTCATATGGAGTCCCTCAAAGACTTCCCCTGAGGAACCGAAACCTTGACTTTCTCTAATTTTCTGCTTTGAGGGGAATCTCTTGTGGAGACTGGGGAGCAGCAAGAGCTGCGCTATCTTGTCTCCTTTATTGATTACCATCGTACCCACAAGAGATTGAACCATAATTTTAATGTGTCCTGTGTAGTCTGAGTCTATGACCCCCGGGACTACTGTGAGACCCCGAAGGGCCGTGGAGGATCTCCCGATCACCAGACCCACGGAATTTTCGGGTAACGGTCCCTTAAAGGTGGTTTCAACCACTTGAACACCCATATCAGGCACTAATATAAGTCTGGAGGCGACACTGAGGTCCATACCTGCTGACCCAGGGGTGGCCCTTGTTGAAGGCTGCCATCCTGAGCTGTCCTGTCTCTGGGGCGGGGGCCCGCCTGTGAAGGGGGCCCCCTCTGGCCGTTTTTTGGCTCTCTAGCATCTCGTCCACAAATACGGTTGCCCTGAGCGTCAAAGACCGACCTACACTCCTCAGCTTTGTGTGATCCCCTCTTGCATCGCCCACAAACATATGGTTCTTCATTCCTAGGGCGAGGCCTAGCATCTGCATTGTTTGGGCAATGACGTTTAATGTGTCCTGGCTCCCCGCAGGCAAAACACCCTTTAGCCTTACATTTCCCTTCTAACCCGCGAGGTCCCCTCTGCTGTACAGCCGCGGCCAGGAGAGCAGCCACCCCCGAGTTGGAGAGCGGCCCCCCTATCTCTCTGCATATCCTAATCCAGGCGTTGAGGTCCTTGTTTTTATGAGGAGCTATCGCTGCCTTGTACTCCTTTGTACATTGCTCGAAAATCAGCTGCCTTACCAGCGGTCGAGCCACTCCCGGATCAGAAAATATCTTATCGGCAGCATCTTGCATTTGGGCCACAAAGTCAACAAATGGCTCTGTGGTACCCTGAATTATTTTTGAAAGACACAAGGAGGCTGTTCCGGCACCACTTACTTGCTTCCAGGCGCGGAGCCCTATGGCATTGATTTGTTCATAGACAGCGCCGGGGAACTGAGTCTGATCATCAGCGTGCCGACCTTCTCCCATAAGCATTTCTTTGTTCCACCCCCGGTTTCCCCGATTGGCGTTTCTCTCAGCCTGCTCTGCAGAGAACTCTGCGTACCAGGCTCGCCAATCCAGGTAACTACCCGAGGGCAGACACGCCTTTGCCAGCTGAATCCAGTCCGTGGGGGTGAGGGGCCCAGAAGACAGGTTCTCCAGCATGGCAATGGTGTAAGGCGCAGTCGGCCCAAAGGTTTTAACTGCATTTTTAAGTTCTCTAATCTGCTTTATCTCAAAAGGCTCCCATGCATTGCGTCCCTGGCCCATAGCTACTTGTACAGGAAATATCCCGTAGGGGCCACTATCTATCCCAGGTGGTGGATGTACCTCATGAGACAAACGTCCCCCCTGCCAAAGCCGCCTGTAAAAATACCGACCCGCCGGCGGCGGAGCATAAGACGGCGGCCGTGATTGGGCGGAAAATGGGGGCCCGTGCATCACTTCCTGTTCTGGCGAAAGGGGAGAGAGCTCCCGGGCGGCCGCCTCGTGGCGAGGGATCGCTTCCGGGAACAGCCCCCAAGGTGGGGCGGAAGGCTTCGCCTCCCTCTCGCGCCGGGGAGCGCTCAGGAGCTCCCTACTCCTCCGAAGATCAGGTTGAGCAGAGCGCAATTCGCGGCGCAACGCTGGAAAAGAACCCTGCGACTCCTTATTGAGCGACTTAGGCTCCTGACAGCTGGTCTGTTTGGCCTCCTTGCCATTCAACTTTCCCTCGTCCTCGGAGTCAGACGACTCCGAGGCTAGAGCCCCGTCCTCCTCCTTAGCATCTTTGTTCCCCTTGACGGGCCCCTCTCGGGAGCTCCCTGACTGGGCCTGCTCAGATACCCTGCGTACTTTTGTAAGCTCTTGAGAGCTTTCTCCACAACCACCCTCGCTCTTAGTGTTGCTACCTAGCATGTTTCCCATTTTTTAATATGTTACTCACCGCGTGAGGCCCAAGGAATCCGCCACTTACGCGTGAGCCTGAGGGGAGTCTAAAAGCCCTGTAGGTGCGCGCCACCCAGAGCCCAGGCTTATCCCCAACTCACCTGTCTCGCAGCTCTGTACTGGAGCGTTGTCCGCTGTCACGTCTCGGGGGTGATCAGTCCCCGGGCGGGCCTCCAAATGTCGATGTCCGCTCCCGGCCGGCAGGAAGGACACACGACAAAGCCTGGCAGTGGACAACCTTTTCTTTTATTTTCCTTCTCCGTACAGCCTGCCCTGGGATCGCTCCCAGCCGAAGCCTCCTCTGGTCCGCTCCCCGCGGCTCCTTCTGGGCTTCTACTTCCGGGCTTCTTCTTCCCCCCCAGGGGTGGCACCAGTATATATACGGATACAGTGTCCATTCATGTTAAAGTGAGCAAGGCAAGCTGATTGGCTAACATCATCAGTTGCCAGGCAGACTATATTGTTGAGCGGGTTGCTTACGCGGTGAGCAGGAAACTAACGTGCTCGATGGGAGGGGTAATCTACCTCAGGCTTTACTCTTTACTACAGGCCTCACGTCCGCCAAGTGAGGCGACCGGGCTCGGGGCTGCGGCTCCCAACACCTACCCAGGGTTGGATGCATCAAAGTTTCCTTATATAGTAAGATGGAATAAGGAAGATAAATTCCATCTCAACTGCTGAAACTAAGTAATATACATTAAATATGTTCCTTTATATTCTGTAGCCAATTGAGTCATGAAATTTTACACTACCTAGGCAGAGTCTGGCACTTCTACCACTGGGTCCTATAGAATCTTCTACATTCTTGAAGAGTTAATCAGTCACTCTGTGCTGGAGTGATCTGTTTTAGAATTTGTTTTCTCTAGTAGAATAAGGTTTTCTTGGGGGCAACAGATGTGACTTATTCATCTTTGCAGCTCCAGTGCTTATCCTGTTACATAACATAAAGTAGGTTCTTAGTAAATACTGAAGGAGGAGTGGACATTGTAAGGAAGATAGATGTTCATAGAGTTATAGAGGAGGTGCTGGATACTCAGGATGTGAAAACCAACACTGTATCACTTTGTTGGGACTCTCTACCTCCCATTCTGATCTTCATAGAGCTTTCCAGGATCTCAATATACAAAAATTCCAATCACAAAGAAATTTCAGATCATTATTTGATGAGCATTTAGGTAATTATAATGGCTTTTCATTCCAGAACCTTCCAGGTCAATCCAGAAGTAGCTTAGCACGTGGCCAGCATGCAGCAGTTAAGGAGAGGGTCATGGTGTGTCTTGGATGATTAATTCTTATAAATTCATCAAGGTTGAATACTTAATGTGGCAGATTCCTCAACTGTTCTCCTCTGATGGACCAGAATCAGCTAACATCAAGAAGAATATATAGTTCTTTTTAGTCTTGTCATACATTGCAAAATTGAGCCACTGTAATGTAGATAATCCTATATCTGAATTCTAGTGGAAGGCAATGAAAGAGAAACTCAGATATTCATAGGAATTAGAGGGGAAAAAAGAAAATCCCTGTGGTGGTATATCTAGAAAAAACTTGGAGGTTTTCAGTGCCCACCCTCCTTTCTCCTTTAGGCACCCAAACAATCATTAATAAATCCAGCACCTTCTTCACAGTAAGGCTGTGATGTACAAATGCAGCATCAATAGGTATTTCAACAGTAATGTCAAATTCATTACCATGAAAGAGGACACCAAATAAAATATCACTGTGATTTGTTCATTGTTATATCTCAGTGTCCTTAAAAGTGCCAAGTATATAGTGGTTACTCAGTAAATATTTGCTTAGTGAAATATTGAATGAACTAAGTTAATTAACCAGTAAATTGTTATAGGCAATCAGAGCATTGTATTCAGAAAAGAATACTTGAACAAGAAGCTCCTGCCATAAAGAGTTAAAGCTACTTTAATTGTTGTCTATGTAAAGTGATACTCTCCTCATTTGGCAGCAGCATGACCAGGAAAGAGAGTCTATATCTCCAGGAGGTAGTTAAAATCTGACAAGTATCCCTTAGCCTAGAGTCAGAACCTTGCCTTCTCCTCTTCTTCCCTGGCAAAAGCATTTGGATATCACTGAATTTCTAAATCACCATCTCCTTTTACTTTCTTCTTAAAGAGGGCCAAGCACTAGGCTAACAGAACAAATGCTGCTTGGATTAAACCAGTGGAGAAACTCTTCAAGAAATAAATTGAATATTGCTCCTGTCTTCAACTCATATTTTAGAATTTGCAACTCTATTCCTTTTCCCTTTATAAAACAAAAGAAAAATAGGTATTTGCTATATCTTTCAGTCATTTCCTTCACATGCTCTGACATCTGTGTAACAGGCTATTTCAGCCTTAGCACGAGATTTTCTGGCCATTCTTAACCCATTTGTATGATTAATTCTCTATTTTCCCTTGTGTTTGATTTATTTCAGATACCAGTGGCAGAAAACAACCCCTTCCTTGTTGGGATGCATTATTGGTATTCCAGCTACAGTCTCCATAATCAGCACTGCAATATTTGTCGAGAAACAATTCCTGCCTTGTCTGGAGATGGCATTGTCTGTGAAGGTAGCTTTCTGACTTCTTTGCAAGGGAGCTCAGTGGATGAAGATAGGACTGAAGGAGCTCATGTGGCTTTAGTATCACTGACATTCCAGGTTACTGACTCTGATTAATCCTGCCTGAGGAAAAGAAATCAAAGGAGCTAGCATGAGTGAAAGTAGAGGATCATGAGGGTAGGATGGTTACCAGGGTTCAGAAGACACAACTCATATCATTCTTACCAATGATTTCCATTCATGTTTGCCTTAGTCACTTTTTACTCATCGCTGAGACAAAATACCTGAAGCCCAAGTTGGGAAAGGAAAGGTTTATTTCTTACAGTTTTTGGAGGTTTCAGTCCAGACTCAGTTGGCTCCAAAGCAGGCAGGCATGGCTGGGCCACAGTTCATAGTGGCTGCAAACAGCAAACAGGAACCAGCAAAAAGCAAGACACACCTTCTTTCTGCCATTACATCTCATCCTGGCTTCACCCCTATGTGGGTGTAGCACTGACACCATCAATCCAAGCACTAGACAGTGAACCAATCACAAATGCACAATGCAAACTTATGAGGCCTGGGGGCCACAGACATAAACCATGACGATGTTGTATATCAGAATGCTAGCTGCTAGAACCAAAAGAAATTGGCTTA